ACGAAATTAATCCGTTCCGAAACTGAGATCGTATCATGAAAATGTCGTAAGGTGGATCATCTTTTCCCATACGATTACATGTAAAACCAAATAATTCGTTCCAACGCGAAAAACATACTCAAATTAAAGCTAAGTAATACATTAAAAAAAATAACTGTAGTAAGAAAAACAAATGAAAAATGCGAACTAATGTAACGTCGTATGGTGAGTTTTTGTTCGTATCGTGGAGCAAAAATATGTTCGAATTTCATGTTGTATCCTGAAAATTTCGTATGATGGGGCGTTCGTAACCTGAGGTACCACTGTACTTGTTTTTGATCATAGCAGATAAAACTATTTTAAATGTCCTATTAATAATTAATCAACGCATTTCACATGTATATGTATTCCTGTTTAAGAAAAATAACTTAAAAACGTTTATTTTTCAGATCTTGAACCCAGCTTTAATTCTGTGGCGTGATGTGTCCAAGAAAGAATTTCTAAAATTATTTAATTTGAAATGTTTCATTTGTTTTATAAAATAATGTATAACGGCATTCTCGTATCTGATTTCAAAACTTTATTTTCAGATTCACTATTAAGCAATAAAGAGAAGAGAAACAAATGAAGAATTGTTTCCAGGAAAAACGATGAGTCGAGGAATGCGTTTAACTTCTGTTTACAGAAGACTTAATTGAAGGCAGTGATAAGGACTTATACGAGAATATGAAAAAGGAAGAATATATGTCAAGCAAATGAAGAGAAACAGAAATGAAATGAAGAAGATATTTTAAATAATTTCCAAATATGTTATTTTTTAAAATACTTTTCATATAAGTTGTTTTGAGATAAATGTATAAAGTACATTAATTTGTGATAGTATGTGTATACTGCTTGGAAATATTTGCAAATACTGGTGTAAGCAGTTTACGTATGATTTATTGTTTGATGTGGGGTGGTCTAGTTAGTTGTAACGTATCAATTTTCGTTTAAAGAATGTTGCTAGAAAGAAAATTATTTTTCTATCTGCACACACACTCTAACAATACTTTAAAATCAGCGATTAATTTCAGATATTTACATATTCGATTAGTAATGAAGTGAAGAGAGTTTCGGTTTTAATGCTTTTATCATATTTCACAGGTTTAAACAATCAGAAGTCAAGAAATGGGAAGTATCGATGTGGCAGTTGCGAAAAAGAATTCGTTTCGAAAAATGGGTTAAAATATCATCGAAGGATTCACACTGGAGAGAAACTCTTTGCCTGTGATCACTGCAAACAACGTTTTACACTAAAAAGAAACCTGATTCTACATCTTCGAACTCACACGGGAGAGAAACCATTCTCTTGTGACCATTGCAAACGACGTTTTACGCAAAAACATCGTCTGATAGAACATCTTCGTCTTCACACCGGAGAGAAACCATTCTCGTGTGATCATTGCTTACAAAAATTTCGTGTTAAAGCTTATTTAAAGTATCATATTATTAAACATCATAATAGTAATGAATAATGACTTTTGTGGAAATGATTTTAGTACATTTCTTTGAAAAATATGTAATACTCGTATTTTAGATTTTATTGAACATGAAACAAGAAATTTCTAAAGTTTGATTTTTTTCGTTTTGTAACTTTCATTTTGTGCATAAAACAATTGATTTTATGTACCGAAAAAAGATGGTTTTTTAGAATAAATACAAATTTCATTGATTAGAAAGTAATATGGTTATTTTTACTTGTTTACGTACGTGTCATTTATTTCGGGCGATAATATTCATTTGTGTTATTTACGTAGAATTCGTTTATTGTTAGAAGTGTATTCAGAAACATGACAAGTCGTGTTTGCACGAAGATCAATTGTCACTCGTTTTATCTTCAGATACGAAAGAGATTAGATTAAGTGAATTTTACCGTAAATGTCGTTTTTTTAAAATCATAAACAGTAAAAATTTTTAATAACGAAAACTTTTCATTTGAAAAATAGGTAGACTATATCACACAGACAATCAATTTCTAAACGTTGTATACACATCAAAGTGAAATAAATACGAGTTAAACATTGCGGGACATAATTTATTACGTGACATTTTTGTTTCAGATAAATTTTACATTATATTGCATTAAAGTGATTTTGCCTTACGAACAGTTTCAATTCAGTGAAAATAAAAACTGATGGAAAAGATTATACTTCCTAACAGTTTTAATAGTTATGAAATGCATAATTGCACATAATAATAGTAAATAAACGTATTGATCTTAAACGTCAGTAACTTATTGGACTTTGTCAATGTGATAATTCCTCGAAAATAACTGTTTCTAAACCGGGTTCATATTAAAAACTTGAGTTTGATCTTTTAATTTTTGTTTTTAATTTTTTTTTTTCGTTTCTCTCTCAGGTCGTACGTACTGTACTTTTTAATAGCCAGGAATTTCGATCTAAAGGCTGTTTTCTTTCTCGATATCGCCAAATTCTTTTAATGGCAGGTTCAGAAATTCGTCGAGTCATCGTTGAATTACCCTCTGCATTTGCTTTTCCCGTATCGGTCGAATTCTCTACTTTAATTTCTGCAGGACTATCGTTTCCAACTAATTCTTTCGAACTAATAGCGTTTTCTATGGAAACGGTCTGATTCGGAACTTTTTCTGTTTGGAAATTGTTGAAATTTTGATCCGAACATTTTGTGTTCTGTGATTTTAATGAAATTCCTTGTTCTTTCGTGGCAAAATTATATTTCTTTTCGCGTAACAGTTTTTTGCATGAATCTTTAATTTTACTTATTACCACAATTCGTTATTCCATCTTTTGTTTCGTTTCTGGAGCTTGGTCTCTCTAAGCCAGTGTTTCCCAACGTGGGGCCCACGTCCCACAGGGGGCAATTGGATTGTTGAGGGGGGCAATTTGGAAATGGACTTGTCCAGAGTTTAAGTTAACCATATAGCTGCTGTATATGTTAGAGGGACATAAGAATTTTAGAGAGGCTTAGGTGGGGCATAGCACAAAAAAGGTTGGGAAACACTGCTCTAAGCCATTTGCACTTTTGAATTTGCATTTTCTGTAGTGCTTCGATGATTTCCTCATCCGGCTCGTGTATCGTTTTTTCTCCATTTAAACACATTGCTAAAAGAGATAGTTCAGATGATTTTGAAACCACAGTATTTCTTGTTTGTACTTTATAGAAACGGTGTTCAGTTTCTTCAGTATGAATCTTCACTACTGCAATTGCTCCATGAATTTTTCTGATTGGATCCACAGTTTCCATTTTTACTGTTTTTTCCGAATAAATTCTAGTATTGATTACGGGTTTGGTTGTAGTTTTCTCGGAAATAACAAAAAAAATTTATGTTTTTGAAATCTGTTTGTATATCCATAATTGACTTGGATATCCCAAAGGATGGAAAAATTTCCGACGATTTTCATCCGAGAGAGTTATTTATATTTATTTTCATGAACTAAACCTCGGATTTCAGCTCATTCAGTTCTTGAATTCTCCTCTGATTTTGCCTCAAGAAGCAAAATGTCGAAAATAAGTAGTAAATTATACTACCAATAATTATTTCTGTTACACATCTAAATGCAAAATAACTTGCAGATATGTAAAAATATTCAAGCCTATCATATCACCATGATAGACTTGAATATTTTTCTTTGTGGCTTCGGAAATTCTATAGTCATTATTTTTATAAAATTTTCTTAAAGCTTATTCTGCATTTATTTAATTTACAGGTTTATTTTTTTACGTAAACAAAAGTGTATTCGTATAAGCAGTATTTTATTTTTAATACGATGTAATATACAGGCATACCTCGACTTACGTCGGTTTCGAGTTACGTCGTTCCCGATTATACGTCGCTTGTTAAAAAAGTATATGGAAAAATAAAAATCAAGTTTAAGTCATTTTATTCGACTTTACGTCTGTCCGCCACAAATATTGAAGTCGTAATATCACTAGATAAACGTTTAAAGCACATAAAATCATATTAAAATATATACAAGTATGTACTGTATTTACAGTACACNGTCTGACGAATGAAAACCAACGTTTATCTGTCCATCAATCCGATGGTCCAGATTTTCACTCCTTTTCTTATGTTTACAAAAGATTTTCGGTTTCATGAAATACAGTGCCGATAAAATTACCGGTAAAAATATCAAAGCAGTAACGAAAGAAAATAAAATAACCAAAAAGGTTAATTTAAAAGTCGTGACAAATACATACGCCAAAGGAATGGCTAAAGGTAACACTGCAATTATTGTTGATGCACTACCTTGAAATATTGCGAGTCCGATTAAATCGATGCTATGACGAAGACGTTCATTGGGATCCTCAAAGTCGCAATATCTGTAAGAATGAGACAGATGAGCAGAATAATCGACCGAAAAACCGGCGCACGCGACTAAGATGATTATAGACACAGGAGCCAATTCCACATCCCACAGAGCCATGTAACCCAAGGTAGAAATTTCTATAGTAATAATAGAAAAAGCTACCGAAAACGTAACCACAACGTCTGGCATAAAAACAAAACAAACAAAAATTACAATTATCACAATACTACACAACAGTTGAACAGTAAATTTTACATGCAAGTCAATGCTGTCGACACCATAATTCAAGAAGTGATAGGGAAACACTCTGAATGGCATTTTATCAGTGATTTTCCTTAGTCTCTGTAAAGTTCCGTGCAATGACTTTTCATTGACAGTGAAATTAGTCTGACAAAAGAATCTGCTTCCAACGATAGCTGTATAGTCAGAGTTGAATGCAATATCATTACGAAATCGTTGAGCATAATTATGACGTAGAAACATTCGGCGCAGGACTACAATAAAATCTTTTATGTCGCTCATATTGTATGACTTTACAATAGAAACCATCGAATCGTCTTTGACGAATTCCACAAAACTTCGGAGCCAAGACTCGGTAAGAAAATCTGCAATTAATCCTTCTTTCTCCATTTCAGAGAAAAGTTTCTCTATTTGGTTCTGAATTTTCACATCTGCATAATTTATTTCTTGATCGACAACGATTTGGATTCTGTTTTCGTAATTACTAAAATGTTTATAAATATTATTATGGTATTGTACAAAATATGAATCGTACGCAGAAATATAACTAAGAGATCCTATAGTATCTGTTTTTGTCACTCCCCAAACTCCAACAGTCACGTAACCTGCCATAATGAAGAGAATTGCAATCTTGACGTACCACAATGATAAAATATTACCGAGTTGCATCCAAAATGATGAAGTTCGGGTTTTTGGGTCTTTATTCGATTTCCAAAATTCAGTAGTGAAAAAAATTTTTCGAATCCAAATGCAGTTTTCTAAAAATTAATGAAAAAGAATTAATAATATTTTCGAGAAACGTCGTCATTTTATAAGGACTTTTATACTATTGTGAGAGTTAATTCGAATAAATCGTAATAAATAATAGCACACTTTGTTCTGCTTATATTACTGGAATATTCGAATTTTTGACTCGATGAAAATCGAATTCAAATAAGTGATTTTCTTTAGTGTTATGTCTATGAAGAAATTCTTATTCTAAGAAATGTTTTGAATCTTTTCAAATCTAGATAATAAAATTAAAAATTGGTTCATGAAATAAGGAAACTTAGTAAACATGTTTAAAATATGATTATCGCAATACTATTTGCGTGTACAAGAAGGTAAAATAAATTCAGTGTCGTAAACAATAATAGTATTTTAGGTTATAGAAGGAACTTCAATTAACATGCATTGATTTTTATTATTACCATATTATATTTAGAAGTTGTAACCAATTACAAAACTTTATTCAAAGAATACCTTCATTATGAGACATTTCTTAAACCTCAACATTGAAGTATCTGTCTATATTCTTGTATTTAAATAGAGATTTCTATGTTTTATCATCAGCTTTATTCAATTTTTTTCGCTCAAAATTATTAAAAATTCATCTAAAACATCGAATAACTTTCTAAACTGAAACCTTTTTACTATTCACTTGCATGGACAAAACATTTGTTAACTAAGTTTGTTCATTCTACAATTTTTATTTTCTTATCTCGGTTAGAAAACGTTCAAATAAATTCTCGAAATATTTTCCATAGAAACGATGCGAAATAAAATCACTTTTTATATTTTATTCCATTTTCGTCTTTTCAAAAATTCTAATATTTTAGTAATATATGCACCCGAAATTGTTTTATTCGCATCTTTTTATCAAAAGATTCACTACTTAATTTTTACCTTTCTCTGCGGTTATTTTCGTAAAGAACAAAGCATGTCTCTGCTGTTTTTCTACATATCCAAAGACTGCCATGCACGCACCAACGAATGTTATTTGATAAACGTAACAGAAGACAACAGCAGTCGATGCGTATAAGCAAAAATAATATATTGCTCTGAAAGGTGTAAACAGTCCTGAAGTGAAGGCTATGAAATTAGTTACAGAAGTAACAGTTACAGAAACGGCGGACTCCGAATACCCTTCCGAGAGTCTGTCTGACACTTTCTTCTGTGGATCGGTTTTTTTCCACGCAGCTAAAAAGACAAAAGCGTCGTCCATACTTACACCTGAAAATAAATATAATACTGATGAGTTCTTGGAATACAGTCACAAAATTAACTTTGTACTGAATAGCATAAAAAATACAATTAAACTAAAAGAAATTTAGAATTACAGGAAAATAAACTGCAATCTTTTATCACCTTGTACAAAATTGTTTTTATCAAAAGTCTACAGAAACAATGATTTTTTTTATTTATTTTGCACAATTTGAAGTGTATTTAATTTTTTTAAGGAAAATAATTGTATGGAGCAAAATAATTTTGTTATAATCTGCTAGTGATTGTTTTAATAGTTTTATGGGATGACCGTATGAGCGAAATGGTTGAAAAGTCAGCCTTACCGCTGGGAATCCAGGATGAAATCCCAAGAATTTTTCATGGGCAATATGTCCCGAATAATGTCTGGTTCCGTTCATCAATAGCCGATGGAATTCTTTGTTCCCTTAGCCGAAACTACAAGCAATATGAAATAGGGAGCTGAATTCAACGATGCCCTGTACAGTATTTTGTTAACGGTTTTCCGAACGATGAGTGTCAGATAGAATCGTGTAAGAATACGATTCCCGCCGTTTTTAATCTGGTAACGGACATGAAAGACCGTTGAGGAGGCGACCGTTGTGTTTGAGTTTGAGTTATGGCGCATGCATCTCAAGTCAGAAACGGTTAGCCAGGTATTACATCATTTCGGGAACTCCGACAGAGAGCAACCCGCATAACCGCTGGTTGGTAGGGAGTGAATCACACCACACGGCACATTTTCATAGGGCTTCGCCCGGTGATCGCTGATTGGTCGTCCAGCCCGCTGTCCACGGCTATATAAGGTTGATGTGGAATCGGGCGGATTCAAGTACGTTTCAAGTGACCAATGAGTGAATGCTCGTTGGAAAAAGAACCTAAATAGAGCTAGACTCTCCATATAAACACAGAAGAAGATATGATAGCGGGAGATTCAAGTTCGGGTTGGAACTTCAGTTCGATGTCAAGTTTGTCATAGATCTTCAAGTAAGCCAACAAGGTCGTCCACGGACGTTACGACATCCAGAAACCAACACAAGATCGCTACTAGTCTTCATTACACCAAATCATCGCAAGATTTTGAATGCCGAAAAGTCCCCGTTCTCGACGAAGCAGACCAGCATATACGAACTCATTGAACTATCTTATTTTGTTAATGTTTTGGCGCACCGAGTTGGTCGCCGATTGTGAAACTACGAACATTTTAAATTTCACTATGAGATTTTGTTTTTTCTTTGAATTAAACTATTTCTTTTAAAAAATCGCCGTTGTCGATACACGTATTACTATAGACACTGCGAAAATAATTTTGCCCACCAGTGGCTGGGTGGAAAAAAACAGTGAACACTGGTTGTGTGGTTGGTGGTATGAAGTTGGTCGTGGGTTACTCTTCGCCAACAATCTTGTTACGTAGACTTTTTCGGGTTTTCTTCACGTTAGTAACACCTAAATATGGGTCAGTTTTCTATAAAAAAGAACACTCGGAAGGCATCCGGAAGGTATATGGCAGTGTCGCGTTGCTATACGCGAAGGAACTATAAGAACATAATTTTTCGGTTGATTAAATAGTGAACATTTTATAAATAGGCTTTAAAATTATTATGTACTGTACTTTCAATAATGCCCATTATCAACCCTTATTACCTCAAAATCGTTTTATTACCTACGTTCTAAATAAAAAGTAACGTATAACACTTCAAATTATCAAAAGTGGAAGAAAGTGAAAAATTACTAATGATACATCGATAATGTTAATTCGTGCCATGTGTAAGTGTTTTATATTTGACGAGAAAAATTATTAAGGAAAAAATGATATGCTGACTGCAAAATGTTATAATTTTCAACATTCGGGTAACTGAAATGCTTTATTTATAAGTATAGACCTTATTTGTATAAACTCTCCTGTAGTTATACAGTTAATTGTTTTATTAATTAAAACTGAATTCATTATAATTGAATCGAATAATGCAAATGTATATCTTTATGATTTCATTAAACTCGTTAAGTTCCTTAAATAGTACATTAACCAGTTAGGTAGACGTATTTATTCCTTCTCAATGCCTTCTACAAATAAATATGTTGTAAACAATGCACCTGAAAAGATATGTTCATTAATTATCTTAATTTTATTTCTATCCAGACAAAAAATTTTCTCTCTAACATCTAATTTTCCTTCATAGAATTAGCCAAATAATGGCCAAATCGATAAAACGAAGAACAATGGCAATTTGTCTGACCGCATGTAATAATTTTTTCAGTGTTTTCACTTGGATAACAGCTAAACAGGAATTAATTTTCTAAAGAAAATCCTTCTGGGAGGCGTCGCTCTTTGGGAAATCTCGTGTGTTGCGTTGTCATATTTCATGAATCACCCTTTTGCATGAAAATCGTAATTATTCTTGTTTACTCGGATTAATGTTTACTTCACAAAAATTTAACCAAGCATTGCATTAATTTTTTAATTGTCAAACTATTAATTATTTCCTTCAATTCTTCACTTTACAATTGTATCTTATTCATTATTTGTATTTTTCACCTGATGATCTTTGTTTCTTAAATTATTCAATAAGAACTGCTGCTGCTAGTTTTCTACAATATTAATTCATCAGCTACCACACCTGATATTGAGAGTATTAATCCTAATACTGTAATAGATTTCATGATTTTATTCTATATTTATCTATTGTTAACCAAATTTAATGTTTTTGCTTTCTAATACATTGCTATTAATTTGTTAAATCTTCTGCCTTTCTTTTGCGTTAATTAATGTTTTTTATAAATCCTTATGTAATGGAAAGTCGGATATCCTGAGAATTTCCACAACCTACATAGTAACTAGTTTGCTATGTGCATCAGATATGTAGTAATTTTGCAACTACGTAGCGGCTACAATTACAAACAGGCGCAGTTCAAACCAAGCCCTAAGAGAAGAAGGGTGCAGTTTGGTCCATAAACTTTTTGGGGTCCATTAAAGGGAAAAAGTAAAAAACTTAATGTTTTCTGACTATTTTCTCTAATTAACGATATAACTTTAGCGATGCGCTAACATTTATAATGAATTATTTTTATACTTCAATATCAGTATGTTAGTTGTTATTTGTGTAAGAAGGTTCTCCGTAATGAGGCGAACTATGATTGATTGTAACTACAGCTGTCTGCATTATCTCGGAAACCCTGGTTAAAATCATTTGGAGCTCTTCGATTGCTTCTTGTGAAAGTACATTTATTAATAATTTGACATGCTTACGTAGTAGATTAAACGTGTCATGTTTTCAGACCTTAAAGTTTTTTGCGATATTTTATCAGATAATGGTTGGACAATACTCGGGATATTGCCGTGTGCTTTATTATAATTTCTGCTTCATGAGACAGTTAAAAATTCTTTTCAGATGCCACTTGCCGAAGATTATAATTATTCGAAAGTTTAACTTTAATTTGAACTGTCAACGATTATTTTTCCCAGTAGTCGTTTCAAATAATGATAACCGTAATAAGGAACATTTGGTTATTTTTATTGAGATCTAAATATATATTGAAAAAGTCGCAATACTTTACTAAAATTTACTGCGACTCTTTGATAATTCTGTAGTGTAAATTAAGGCTGCATAACGCTAGATTTATTGCGGTATAATACGGATTTTGGCAGGGTAATACCGTCATCTTGCATATTATTTTTTGTAAAATGTTAGAATAATTCGCTATTTTTTATACGAGTCTTAAATAAACGAACAGATCATATAAATTATGTTTACATAGAATGTTTTGTAACTGTATTAATAGTATTCGATAAAAGACAATTCCTCTTTAAGGGTGGCGACAAATCCCAACTTACTTCCGTTTTAAGGTATTTTAATCTATTTTGATACTTACTAAATTTTTTATAAACGTTTAAATTCCAGCACTAATTGACTTATTTAATGCTTCTATTATCGTACCATAGATTTGATTTTCTTTGTTATGAATTTCGTAATAATTATATCTTTTCTATATTATTCTTTAGAAGCTGATAGTTGTGAAGTAGACTATATGTATCACTATCGAATTTGTTTCTATCCTTATCTTAAGATGTAATCGATCTTACTTGATGCAGACATTTAGCATAAATATGTAACTATGATATATATTTACAAAGTCAAATCAATTACAGAATTACCACGAGAGGAAGTAAAATTAAACTCGCTTATTTCCGCTCGTTTAATGGCTTAGTTAATGTATATAATTTAAACATAATGAAGAATCTTCAATTATCTTTCTCCTGAGTATTTTTAGACTTCTATATTGCTTAAATATTTTTACTTTGTTCTCGAAACTTCATGTTTTGCTCACGCCCTACCCTACAACTAAAATATCGTAAAATTATGCATTAGAAGTCCACAAAAGAAAGAAAAAGGATAAGAAATATATGCAAAGGTAATAAAAAGGGAAGGATTAAAAAGAGAAAAAATATGAAAAAAAAAAAAGGAAGAGGAGAGAATCAAAAAGGGGAAGGAAAAAGAAAAGAAGAGAAAAGAAATGACAATAAGTGTATTTTGGCGTTTTCTCCGTATAGGGAAGCATGAATAGGAGATGAATGTTTATACCTGGTTTAAACTTTTATAACTCCTTTGCTTTTTGTCGAAGATTTTTGAAATTTCAGGAGACAGTTTGCATATTACTGAAAAATGTTCCTACAAATTTTCAAAAAAAACGAAACAAATAATTCGGAAGATATTAATAGCGATGATATCTCAAAAAACTTCCAAGTTATGAAATTTTTCTGCTCGTATAAATTTTTAATTGATTAAATAAAAACGTATGTTTACCCTTAAAATAAAGCTTACTGCCTTTTTATTATAATTGATAATACAAGAGTTATTTTAAAAAATTCTAATAACAGATGGCGTGACACACAATTTTTAACCTTCCTATAAATATATTTTGCCAGGAAGTTACTATATTTGCTGCTTGATTTTTTCTTCTTATTTTAATTGTTTCGGAAAGCGTTTGCGTGATGAAATTTGTGAAAACTTTCCTATACAAAACATTAAAACACTGATTATAAATACTGTACCATTGTTTTTATTTTCGTGCCACTTAATCTACTACTTTATAGTCACCTAATCTTCGCTTTATTAGTCGTTTGGTGTTAAAGTTAATGAATTATTTGTAGATAAGACACTGCGATTATACGGTTTAGAGATATGCGAAATATTGTATCTAACCTTTATTCAAACAGTCGATAATTTTTATAGATTTTTTATATTTCAAATCAATAAAAAAGATTTTTTTATATTAATTAAATTAATATTTATATTTGTATTATATTTATTAATTCTTATCGAAAAACGGATTATGGTAATACCTAAACAAAATTTTAATAAATTAATAACGCTTACCTATAATTAGAAAGGGTACACATCCAGCAGTAACCACAAACGGTATATTAAAATACATGACCAATCCAAATGACGAAGCCAAAGACATTCCTCCCGATATCAATGCAATGACTCCGATCCAAGGTTTGCTCTCGATCCAACTGTTATACAGACAAGTCAGCATTGAAAAGATTACTACTGCTAACATTGAAATCAGTATTCGAGCAAATATTCGATATACTAGTTTAAACATTTCTTGTTCGATTGTAATCGACGTGTATCGATCGACGATTATGTACTCAAAAGTACTGGATGCAATACGATCCAAAAATAGTTTTTGCCATTCTTCTGCTCTGTATTTTCGAAGTTCCGAATTATCGTTTAAGTAATAAAATAGACGCAAAGCTTTCGCGCTTTTTACGTAATCTTCTACACTTGTTTCGACTCCTCCTAAAAATAAACTCATTACTTTGAAATCGTAATTACCTTTTGTGCTTAAAGGATATTCGATGGAATAAGTTTTGTTTTCCATCATTTCGACTTCGTCTTGCATGAATAAAATAGAATTTTCGAAGCATCTTTTGTTATTTCTTGCGCATAAATCTTTGTATGTGAAATTCTCTGCAGTTTGTACATTTTGAATAATTTCATTCAATTGAATAATCTCTCGAAATATGTCTCGTCGAAGCACAGATCCTTCGTCTTTGGCTGTTACTAGGACTACTGCTATATTTGGTTCTCTGTTCATTTTTCCCATGTGTGCTTCGGAAGATAGATTCATTGAAAATATCCTTCCTATTACTTCTTCTTCTTTAACATGTCTGGTATTCTTGGGTCCAAATAAATATTTTACGTTCCTTTCTTCGTACCACTTGTGAAGACCCGTAGCTAATACCACGGATACAAACACTGGAATGACGATAAAGTAAGAAGGATTTCTACCAACAAGTAATCCTAATTCTTTAAGTCTCTTCGATAAGGTAACACTCAAATAATTCGACTTCATATCAATTCTGAAAAATTAAATTATTTAATAAAATGCTGTTTTTATTTACATAGTAACACGTAAGCTTTGACGCCAAATTCTAAAATTACTGCAAAATTCAAAAATGCTTAGTTAACTNCACAAACGGTATATTAAAATACATGACCAATCCAAATGACGAAGCCAAAGACATTCCTCCCGATATCAATGCAATGACTCCGATCCAAGGTTTGCTCTCGATCCAACTGTTATACAGACAAGTCAGCATTGAAAATATTACTACTGCTAACATTGCAATCGGTATTCGAGCAAATATTCGATATACTAGTTTAAACATTTCTTGTTCGATTGTAATCGACGTGTATCGATCGACGATTATGTACTCAAAAGTACTGGATGCAATACGATCCAAAAATAGTTTTTGCCATTCTTCTGCTCTGCATTTTCGAAGTTCCGAATTATCGTTTAAGTAATAAAATAGGCGCAAAGCTTTTGCGCTTTTTACGTAATCTTCTTCACTTTTTTTGACTCCTCCTAAAAATAAACTCATTACTTTGAAATCGTAATTACCTTTTGTGCTTAAAGGATATTTGATGTTGTAATTTTTGTTTTCCATCATTTCGACTTCGTCTTGCATGAATAAAATAGAATTTTCGAAGCATCTTTTGTTATTTCTTGCGCATAAATCTTTGTATGTGAAATTCTCTGCAGTTTGTACATTTTGAATAATTTTATTCAATTGAATAATCTCTCGAAATATGTCTCGTCGAAGCACAGATCCTTCGTCTTTGGCTGTTACTAGGACTACTGCTATATTTGGTTCTCTGTTCATNCTTGCGCATAAATCTTTGTATGTGAAATTCTCTGCAGTTTGTACATTTTGAATAATTTCATTCAATTGAATAATCTCTCGAAATATGTCTCGTCGAAGCACAGATCCTTCGTCTTTGGCTGTTACTAGGACTACTGCTATATTTGGTTCTCTGTTCATCCTTCCCATGTATGCATCGGAAGATAGATTCATTGGAAACATCCTTCCTATAACTTCTTCTTCTTTAACATATCTGGTATTCTTGGGTCCAAATAAATATTTTACGTTCCTTTCTTCGTACCACTTGTGAAGACCCGTAGCTAATACCACGGATACAAACACTGGAATGACGATAAAGTAAGAAGGATTTCTACCAACAAGTAATCCTAATTCTTTAAGTCTCTTCGATAAGGTAACACTCAAATAATTCGTCTTCATATCAATTCTAAAAAGATAAATTGTTTCATGAAATGCTTTTTTATTTACGTATTAATACGTAAGTTTTAACGTCAAATTCTAAAACTACTGCAAAATCCAGAAAATCTTAGTTAACTGTCAATAAAAATCGTGAGAGATAAATTACTACTTAAAAATGATAAATATAATTAATTAAATTAATTATGACGTTGTTCATATTTGTTATNATTACAAATTAAATTATGTTAAACTAAACAGGTACTACTATAATTTAACTACAGTAAAACCTGTCTATGGCGACCACCCACGGTTCCTTCAAAAAGTGGTCTTTTAGACGGGTGGTTGTCCAATACAGTTGGTGCTGTAATACGGTATTTCCCTACGTATTTTGCTCACTTTTTAGCCATTTCTACTAAGCAAAACTCGAGGCGAGCAAAAATAAGCGAATTTTTTCAACGATAGGGTTATATTGGTATTGTATTTTAATCTTATCGGATAACTCGATTTACAGGAATCGTCATGATATTATAAGACAGATTTAATACTAATATTTTAAAGATTAATACAATACTCGCATTTTCTCGATTATAATGCACACTTTCTTTTTTCCGACTTAATTAATTCGACTCGGTTCTTTTCGTTCGCTCCTCAGTTACGTGTATTACGTCATCAATATACAAGCGCGTCCTATCTCTCCATCACTTTGCTTTTGGTTTTCGTTAGTTTAATCTTATTTTAACTTTAAAAATACTGTTTTTTTTTAATATTTAATATTTTCTTAATTAATTAAGTACAATAAGAAAAATTATTAATTAATAATAAAACGATTTTATTATTTTTTCTCATTATACGATTTCATTACAATCGCGGAATCGAAAAAGGAAGTAAAACTGATTTTTGCATTAATGCGTTTATTGTTTTTTGAATATTTTGCCTGCGAAAATTACTTGGATATTATTTTTCTAAAAATATCGTGGAAATAAGGTAGGTTGATACAGAAACTATTTATCGCACGTGTACTGTATATGAGCTTCAAAATAAATAAATAAAAATAGATTTTATCAAACGATGAGATCAGCCGATTAATTGTATCGTGTACAATATTTTACACCCCCAAGGAAAATACTGTAGGTCTAGGGTAAAATAAATTTTGTTTTCCCACAGTTAAACTTCGCCGCTAATTGCTGTTGTGATAACTTTAATACGATCTTCTAACGACAGCACTTTGCATTTCGGACATTTTCCAACAAACTGAAATGAATTTCCTTTGTTGCTAGACTAATTTATTAACACCTGCACCTAATTTCGAGGGTGGGAGAAGTGCCCGGGATGGGTTCGAACGAGAGTTTAGACTAATTCATTATATTAGGAGGTGGAAACGTTGTTGAGATGGGTTCTTACAATAGTTTAGACCAGATACATTCGCGAAAGTGGTCGCTTATTACAAGTGTTGTATGTTGTTTCGGACCAAAAATCGATGCCCGCGGTCGCGTTACACAGGTGGTCGTTTAATACAGGTAACTTATACGAAGACTCCATGGCTAAACTATTCCGTGCCAGAAATTTTTGCCCGTTTTGACAGGTGCCCGTCGAATGCAGGTGGTCGCCTAAGCAGTTTTCACTGTATTTGTGAAGAAGGTTTTTCCTTTAATTTGCTTTATACCAAAACATGAATTTAGATAGAAGATTGCGTGTTTTATGCTTGGGTTGACTTCTTAATTATGCGTAGAAAAAAAAATTCAAGGATTATTGATTTCTTCGAAATGCGTTAATATTCGAGAGTATAACCTGCAGATTCACGAATTGTGCACAAATCTTCGACTTATTTTGCACAAATTGATTATAATAAAAACAAAAATAAATTATAATTAAAGTAAGGGTATATTTGAAACAATTTATAATTACAGTATTCCTTAATTGTATGAATATGCATTTATTTAAAAAAAATCATATTTAAAAGTTACTTCCTTACTGCAGTAAAATAATACAAATATTTTATTAAGTTTACTTATTTTGATTTATTTTATGTACTAGAATCTGCTATAAAAATAGATATTAGGCCATAAATATATAAAGCATTATTACAATTAGAATTATTTAAAAATTAGAGGTTCAGACTATTTATAAAAATATTTAATTTTCGAGTCTATTACTTGATTCTTTTTTATACAACCACAGAAATACCCGTTACATTGACTTGAAGAAATGCCTTCATTAAAAAAAGAAATAACAATAAATAAAATTTTACATCATTAAAAACGATCCAACGTTAGCGTTTTGTTTGAGAATAATTGGAAGAAAATATCCTGAGATCATCATGAAAATTGTAACTAAAGCATTATTGTTATTATTATTTAAAGGAGGATCCAGTCCTTACGTTTAGAGCATAACAATTAACAACGAATTATAGAAAATGATTTCACATACCTTATTTAGATTTCTCATTAACACTTTTAAATGATCGTCTTCTTCTGTGGTTTTAGTTTTAATAAAAACTTTGATAATTATAATTAATAAATCAAATTACAATTGGTAAAAATTGCAGAGTAAAGTGGAATTAAGGCTACTATTAAAATACTGCGAGCAATCACGGTCGTGGACACGGGATTAAATAAAAACGAACGATGCCAAGCTGTGAAACAAATATTATTATTTTTCTTCTGACCAATTGAAAACAAGAAGGAAAATTTCTAAAAAATTACTTTTACATCACGAAAAGCAGTTTTTAATTAATAGGTTTCGATTACGTAAAAGAGAATTAATTAATAATTTAAAATGATTAAAAAATTTTTTTCATTAAATGATATTGCGGCAATAGAGGAAAACTTAGGTAAAGTTTTTAGAACCTAAAATAGCCACAGAAATTGTAAATAAAACTTCTTGATTCGTTTTATATTCGTATCAAAAATTTAGAAATTTTTTCGATTATTTTGGTGGATATTTTAAACATTTTCGCATTTTACATTTTATTAATACCGTATTTATATTGCAAAGTCGTAAGGTACGGGTATCTAATTTTATTCTTGCACGTTTAACTTTAGACGAATTTCGTAGTGATTTCTTCTATTTGATATATGTTATCTCGACACTACTACTTTTTTTAGATTTAAATATACTGACGAAGAACTGTCGACATTTATAGTATATTTAATATTGTATAGAATATCATATTTAATCTGTAAATCTGTGCATACAGTATAACTATTCGTTGCCATGGACATCAATACATATGGGACAGAAAGGAAATATCTCCACCCTTCGATATTTTTGTATCAGCAAACTGTTTTCGCTCAAAAGTATTTTTATTTTATACCTTAATAAAAACAGTTATTCAAAATCATAATAAAATTATTATTCCTGAATAGTAGGATAACTGTTCAGTTCGTTATCTTATGAGGACCATGCACGAAAATATGTCTTTTTCGTCTATGATGCGTAGAACTGCCTTATATTATTACGCTGTTTAGAAATAACTTCATCTGCAAACAGTATGGAAACAAACAACAAGTTACGTATTTTTAGAAACATTTCCCCTAATACACAAATCTCCCTGCAAAATTTGAGGCAAAATCTACAGAAGTTATTAAGCTTTAAATTTAATTAAAATTCGTGGACCACGCTTCAACACATCACCAACTCTTACATACAGAGAAAAACCATCTTGTATTGCATTTCTCGACGTTTTAAGGTCCTCTTAGACCAAAACTACAAAAATCGTGGGGTCATGTTTTAAACGATTGCAGTAATTTCCCTCTTTCATATATAACATTCGATAAAATAAATATTTACTATC